ACTAGAGTGAGGCCTTCTCAGCACAATTTGCTACATTGACACATCCGTGGATAAAATGCAATATAGGTCATAGTTGATACCAAGTTGTAGATTTGCTTGAGAAACAATTCATGCGCACATGAATACAAGTCGGTTATCTTATCGACAATCCAAACTATAAAACCGTGCTGAGTTATTTCTCCAAGTCTGAAGTAGAAGCAGGGATTACAAACTTGCAGCTTTATTTAGTCGATCATTCAGGCGAGGAAAAGCATGTCGATCAATATAGGTTCATGATCCGGGAAAACTGAAAAGGACTAGCTGTACTGCTGAGTACGTGTGGAGTGTCGACGTTACATGGCCACCGCATGTGAAACGGAAGCTGAAAAAATGGCAACACTCTGTTACACCCAAATGGCAATGCAATTATGCAATGCAGCCAACGGCGGTGGGAAGGGTCCAGTAAAAGTTTCGTAGGTTTACCATTTTCGCTCTTAAGCAGTGGTGGGAAGTGTCACTGATTTTTTTGGATGTTTTTGTTTGACTTGCTTTATGTGACTAGTAAGCGTGCAATGTGCACGTACTGACTAATACTCTGTAATTATTTAGTCAAACATATTTCGAACACTAAAATTCAAATTGTGGCATTTCGTGAAACAACATAGCTCCATGTAAAAATACAAAAAAAAATCAATTAATTTCGAACTCCAATGATGAAGAAGGTCACAGAAGGGTCCAGTAAAAGTTTCATAGGTTTACCATTTTCGCTCTTCAATAGTGGTCGGAAGCTGACTAGTTCGACGGGAAGTGTCACTGTTTTTTTTTTTGTGTGTGTGTGTTTGTTTGACTTGCTTTATGTGACTAGTCCACATACTGACTAATACTCCCTCTGTCCCATAATATAAGAACGTTTTTGACACTAACACTAAAATTCATATTGTGGCATTTGGTGAAACAACATAGCTCCGTGTAAAAATACAAAAAAATCAATTAATTTCAAACTCCAAACTCCAATAATGGGAACAATCCAAACTTTGCCCATTGAATGGTGTCCACCTCTTGATCAATGATAGTGTCACTTTACATAAGATTTACACCACAAAACTGGTAGACAAATAAATATCACAAAGGACCAATCTCCAGAAACACTTAAACCTTCATCGTAAAAGAAAAACACTTAAATCTTGCTCGGCTCTATAGACCACTGCAATGAAGCAGAAAATTACAGACAATAAAACAATCGTATCATTTTTTAGAACCTTCGAGAAGTGCAGTACTCCACTCGTTATGCTTGCCATCACTAGTAGAAAACATGGCATCAGTCTCGGTTCTGCAATCGGGACTAAACAATCATGACTAAAGGTCCTCACTTTTAGTCCTGGTTGGGTTACGAACCGGGACTAAAGGAGTTCCAAAACAAAAACCCCAGCGCCTGGCAGTTGCTGACGCGTGGCTGCCTTTTAGTCCTGGTTGGTGTTACCAATCGAGACTAAAGAAGTTCCACGTAGCCTTTGTGGTTTTTGTTTTTTTAAAGGAGGGGTTTGGAGTGTTTAGGAGTTTCATATTGTGTTTCGTCCTTTTCTTTTTGTGTTTACCCTCCAATTCTTTTACATTTAGGGTTTCATTTTTATTTTATGTTTTCTACTCAACTCGACTCTAGCTACTACATATAGCAATGAGGGAACCATTACACAACATCGGCATGAACATAGAGAAGTGACCTCTTTTTCTGGGCTTGGTCTAACAATAAGTTTTCGTATATCTATTCGATGCTACTACATATAGTACACGACCATGCATATATACAATATAACATCATCTACCAAAATCGCATTGCAATTCCCGATGATATTCTCCGTCTTTAGTTATGACGTGCTCAACAAAGAATCCCGCAAATTCCTCTTCAATCGCTCGTGTGTGATCATGTGGTAGGAGTTGATCCCGCATCTCTCAGTCTAATTTAAAGAAGGGGGAGGGTATATATATGACTCCTCTTCTGTACTCCTGGGAGTATGTACTCACATTCTCAATATATCTCATATACGCATTAATTATATCTCTTTATTATTCTCAATATACTTCATTAAATATTCTAAGATACCTCAATACGAGTTTTGTTGAAAAAATATCATCTGCGATATACTTTTTGTAATATACCTTTTTCACGTACAAACACATCAGTATATACGTAAATATTTAAAAATATGTAGACTCACATGAATTTTTTCATGGAACTCATTTTGGGGTATCGAATAATTACTAATAAAGTATATTAAAAATAATAAAGTGGTATAAAAGATTCATCTATGTGGTATATGAGAAGCGGGAGTACGTACTCCTAGGAGTACACAACCATTTTCCTATATATATATATATATACACACACACACACCCCAGTAACGCTATTCTAAGCGTGAGTGTAGAATAACTTATTCTACACCCCTAGTAATGCTATATACAAAATCTAGTAAAACAACGTACAAAATGTAGTAATTTTGAAAATATTTTTTTTACTATCCAAGTTTGTAATTTACTACATTTTCAGAAACAATTACTATATTTTATATATTGCGTTACTATATTTTGTATGTATCGTTACTGGGGTGTAGAATAAGCTATTTTACACTCACGCTTAGTTTAGCATTACTATGTATATATATACATACACACACACATACATATATATATATATACACACATACAGCCAGTCTATTCTGCTAATATTAGCAGAATAACTATTCTGATAACACTTCCGCACTGCACACTCAACGCAAGTGCACGTCATTGTTTGAGCCAAGTGTGCTGCAGTACTCACACGAGTGAACTTCGTGTCGGAAAAAACTGCACGCAGTGTTTTTCCAGTACTGTTTTCGCTATAATTTTTAACCATTTATCGGAATGAGGCGTATAATACACCGTTGGAAAGCTATTGATTAGGCGCAACTTTGCCATGTTGAACACTTTTAGAGATTTCTCTCGGTTTAAGAGCAGTTTCAAAAATGGTGCGGCGGATGACGAGTGGCAGCGAGCGTATTTTCGGGATTTTTTCTAAACCACTCATCGGAATAAAGCAAATGATACGCTGTTGGAAAGATATTGTCGAGGCGCATCTTTTTCATATCTATTATTTTCTCTAATTCGTTACGGTTTAAAAGCAGTTTCAAATTTACTAAATCATGGAATTACGTTTTTTTTAATTCTTGCAATTTTCGGTACTGTTTTCGCTCTAGTTTTTGAACCGTTTGTCGAAACGAGGCGTGTAATATGTCGTTGGAAATCTATGGACAAAGCGCAACTTTCATATGTAAAAATGGTTTTGAGATTCCTTACAGTTTTAAGTTAATTTTGAAAATCGTGCGGCGGACAACGAGTGGCAGCGGCCGTTTTTCATGAATTTTTTAGAAACTGGTTGTCGAAATGATTCAAATGATATGCCGTTGGAAAGATATCGACGAGACGCAACTTTTTCATGTAGAACTCTCTCTCTAATTCCTTATGGTTTAAGAGCAGTTTTAAATTTACCGAAGTGCGGACAATCTGTTTTTCGCGACACCCGAATCGACGTGGGTACTTCATTCGACTGAAAACTGCACCGCATCGGACGAAAAACCGCACTGCATCAGATGTGTTAGAGAACTGCATGGTTTATTTTATTCAAACGTAATTTTTTCAAGGACGAGAAAGTAGAGTGCACTTCACATCGGGGGTAAATGAACCACAACATTATCAAGAAGTGAACCACATTACTTTTTTTTCGCTTTTTGTAATATTTTTTTTGCACTTACGAGATGAACAACAACATACGGCCAAATGAAAACCGCACTGCATCGGATGGGCAAGCGAGCTGCATAATTTCTTTTGTCGGACAAGTTTTTGTTGTTTTTTTTTACTTTTTTTTATGAACGAGAGTGGACCGCAGAGACTTGGGCAAATGAACCGTAACATGTGTCTAAGTGAACCTCATTTACTATCTTGTTGTTTTGTTTTAAAAAAATCGCACTTTCATGTTGGGCACAAGTGAACACCATCACTCTCAAAAGTGAACCACATCCGAGGACCAAACGCACCGCAACATGTGTAGAAGTGAACCTCATTGCTAACTTGATGTTTCGTTTTAAAAAGTCACACTTTTCATGTTGGGCGCAAGTGAACACCATCACTCTCAAAAGTGAACCACATCCGAGGACCAAACGCACTGCACGTATTTGATGTTGTCGACTCAGAGATACACAAAACAATTTTTGCACTTCATACAAAGTGGTAATGAGCTGCTACATAAATTGGAGCGGACTACTTTTTTTTCTTCAAACCGTGACGGGACATTTTGCATGGTGCATTGTCAAACTACAAGACACCACGCCCTAGACTACACACGCGACACGGAACTGCACGGGCCACACCCTGGATTTTTTCACGCCAACTGCACTGCACGGTGTGCGCCACCCGAACTGCAAAGTCACCCACCCGTGTGTCATAATCTCCGCCTCGCATGTGCCAGCACTGCCGCTGTTGGTGCGTACCTGAGATCTGCAACGCGAGGGTAGCCGGACCGCATGTCCGACACCGGCGAACTGCACGCCAAGGGTGAGCCGCAGGCAACCAACTGCATAGCCCACAAACTGGAGTCACGGGCTGCACGTACCCGTCAGTTGAACCACTTGTGTACACGACGTGCACTGCAAAGACTATATGCCAGATGCTACATGTCACTCCATCGTTGCTCCCTGTGCTCGGATCTTGACGAGATATACCATTGACTAGATCGGTGGAGGAAGAGAAGAAGCTGGCGGTGAGGTTGCTGACCAATCCATGGGGAAGCGGCAACCGAGCTGCACGGGGCTGGCGGCGCGGTGGGTGGCCGCTGCCATGGATCCCTCGGCACGGGCCCCCGGTGGCCAATTGGTGTAGAAGGTGGAGTGGTTGGGGCTCGAGGTCGGAGGAGACCGATCTAAAAAAGAGATCAGCCACACGATAAAAAAAGTGATCCCTAGGAGTGACCCGCGCGGCAATATGTAGCGACCATGCCGGCAAACACGCACGGCCGCCCTGCCACACTGCATCCGTCGTGGGTGTGCTGCGTGCACCCACGTTGCGTTTGGTTGAAGGTGTCGTATGAATGGGTTGGGACCGTTCAATTTTTTTGGGATTGAACCATTCAATTCATGTGTTTGGCTGAATATAAGTGGTGAGCTAATTATTTAGGACGGGACCACCAGTCATGCTCACATAGTCATGCATGCAAAGGGTGGCCATTTGATTCGACCGATTTGATTGGGTGGAACGGTTCAGCATCTTCATGGCATATTCTCTTTTTTGGCTCGAACCATTCATGTGCTTTATAACCAAACATGTCTATTTTCTGAACGATCCCAACCCATTCATGACCGCCCTTGCAACCAAACGCACCCGTACTGGACTGCACGGCACCGGCGTAGGTGGTAGCCGAGGAAGGGAGCTCGTCAAGGGAGGTGTTGCTAGATCCTGCGTCGACGGGGACAAGGAAGCCGCTGGGGGGAATGCGCGGTTGCGTGGTGGTGGGGGAATCCGGCTCCTCTAGAGGTGCACTGACGAGACCCGTGGTGCGCGCCTGTGGCTCCTCTTGGGCTCGCTCGCTGACCACCGCACCTACCTCCTCCTCATCCACCAAGCCCCGCACCTACCTCCTTCTCATCCTCCAGGAGAAGGTGAGTGTGCGAGGATGAAGATGGCCGGGACGGGCCCATGGAGGAGCAAGGCGCCGGTGGCGACAATCGCGAGGGAGGAACGGCAGGCGTGGAGATGCCGTAGGGAAGGGAAACCAGAGGAGGTAGCTGCGGCAGGTGGATGGAGGGAGGGCTGTTGCCCTCGGTCTGCCGGCTGTTGGTGTTGCGGATCTGGTCGCCGAATCCGGCGATTTTGGGAGGTGTGTGACCGGGGGGTGGGGGCGTGATCCATGGTGGACGGGCTTGGAGCGGGCGGGGATGGGTTGGGTGCGTGGGGAGGAAGAAGGTGGAGTATGGGTGGCCAGCGGTGAGGGACCTCGTCGTCCGTGAAGGAGTAGCACACCAGGGTGAGGTGCGCCGCCACCCGCTGCACACCAGGGACAGCGGTAGCGAGCGGGCGAGGCTGGGCCCTGGGGAAGAGGTCGAGTGGGGCGGGACAGGGACACGGCGCCGAAGGAGAAGACGAGGTGATGTCGGCTGGAAGGGAGGGGAGGCGCGGTGGTCGGCAGGGAGGAGGAATAGGGTGGAGGTGGTGTGTGGGTTGGGGATTTGACCAGGGAAGAAGGTGGGATGTGGGTGGCGTCGTCGGGGTTGGGGTGGGGATTTGACCGGGGGCCTCGCGCGTGGTGATTTAAGCAGGTTCCTCCACCGTGCGTAGTTTGTTCGGTGTTGGGGGCCAGGTGTTAGCAGAATAAGCTGGTGTTAGCAGAATAACACTTTTAAGGGTGTTATTAGAATAGACCCACCCTATATATATACATACATAAATGAAACTCAACCCAATTAATGGTAATAAAATAAAATTGTGAATATTGTTTACGTACTTGTAATTATTTTGAAGTTATGCCCCGCTCAAGGGTGAGTTGCGAATGAACTCGCAAACATAGTATCCACATAAATTATTCTCGGTTGCCTGCCACAAGCACTTTATGAGAATATAGTTCAATCAAAATGATAATCAAGCATGATAATGGTATTCATGAAACTAGAATCAATGAAAGATGCGCGGAACTAACTAGTACTATTTTGGGGTGTTTAAATCGCAACTCCTTTTTCCATTCATCCGGTACCTTGCTGGTGAACTTTTTTCACACCCTGCCCGACAAAGAAAATGATTACCTGATATCAGGAAATGAACGAAAGTTGCTGATATGGTGCGATAATGATTGAACTTACTTCTGGAGCATTTCACTCGTGTCCACCCATTCTTTAGACTCTTTACGTCTCAAGTCCAAGATAGTTACTAGTCCCTATTGGGGAACGTTGCAGAAAACAAAATTTTTCCTATGGTTTCACCAAGATCCATCTATGAGTTCATCTAGCAATGAGTGATCGGATTGCATCTACATACCTTTGTAGATCACGCGCGGAAGCGTTCAAAGAACGGGGAAGAGGAAGTCGTACTCGACGTGATCCAAATCACTGGAGATCCTAGCGCCGAACGGACGGCACCTCCGCGTTCAACACACGTACAGTTAGCGTGATGTCTCCTCCTTCTTGATCCAGCAAGGGGGAAGGAGAGGTTGATGAAGATCCAGCAGCATGACGACGTGGTGGTGGATGCAGGGGTCACCGCAGCAGGGCTTCGCCGTTCTACTACGAGAGGGAGAGGTGTTGCAGGGGAGAGGGAGGCGCCAAGACTCAATGGTGGAGCTGCCCCTCCCCCCTTTATATAGGCCCCCTTGGGGGGGCGCCGGCCCTTGGAGATCAGATCTCCCAAGGGGGGCGGCGGCCAGGGGGGTTGGAGTACCCCCCAAGGCAAGTGGGGCGCCCCCCCACCCTAGGGTTTCCAACCCTAGGCGCAGGGGGTGGGCCAAGGGGGGCGCACCAGCCCACTATGGGCTGGTTCCCCTCCCCACTTAGCCCATGGGGCCCTCCGGGATGGGTGGCCCCACCCGGTGGACCCCCGGGACCCTTTCGGTGGTCCCGGTACAATACCGGTGACCCCCGAAACTCTCCCGATGGCCGAAAATGCACTTCCTATATATAATTCTTCACCTCTGGACCATTGCGAAACTCCTCGTGATGTCCGGGATCTCATCCGGGACTCCGAACAACTTTCAGGTTACTGCATAGTCATATCTCTACAACCCTAGCGTCACCGAACCTTAAGTGTGTAGACCCTACGGGTTCGGGAGACATGTAGACATGACCGAGACGGCTCTCCGGTCAATAACCAACAGCGGGATCTGGATACCCATGTTGGCTCCCACATGCTCCTCGATGATCTCATCGGATGAACCACGATGTTGAGGATTCAAGCAACCCCGTATACAATTCCCTTTCGGAGATACCCGTAGTACACCCAAAGCACTCTTACGGTATCCGGGAGTTACACGATCTCATGGTCTAAGGAAAAGATACTTGACATTAGAAAAACTCTAGCAAACGAACTATACGATCTTGTGCTATGTTTAGGATTGGGTCTTGTCCATCACATCATTCTCCTAATGATGTAATCTCGTTATCAATGACATCCAATGTCCATAGTCAGGAAACCATGACTATCTGTTGATCAACGAGCTAGTCAACTAGAGGCTTACTAGGGACATGTTGGTGTCTATGTATTCACACATGTATTACGATTTCCGGATAACACAATTATAGCATGAATAAAAGACAATTATCATGAACAAGGAAATATAATAATAATCCTTTTATTATTGCCTCTAGGGCATATTTCCAACAGTCTCCCACTTGCACTAGAGTCAATAATCTAGTTACATTGTGATGAATCGAACACCCATGGAATTCTGGTGTTGATCATGTTTTGCTCTAGGGAGAGGTTTAGTCAATGGATCTGCTACATTCAGGTCAGTATGTACTTTACAAATCTCTATGTCTCCATTTTGAACACTTTCACGAATGGAGTTGAAGCGACGCTTGATATGCCTGGTCTTCCTGTGAAACCTGGGCTCCTTGGCAAGGGCAATAGCTCCAGTGTTGTCACAGAAGAGAGTCATCGGGCCCGACGCATTGGGTATGACTCCTAGGTCGGTAATGAACTCCTTCACCCAGACTGCTTCGTGTGCTGCCTCCGATGCTGCCATGTACTCCGCTTCACATGTAGATCCCGCCACAACGCTTTTCTTGCAACTGCACCAGCTTACTACCCCACCATTCAAAATATACACGTATCCGGTTTGTGACTTAGAGTCATCCAGATCTGTGTCGAAGCTAGCGTCGACATAACCCTTTACGACGAGCTCTTCGTCACCTCCATAAACGAGAAACATTTCCTTAGTCCTTTTCAGGTACTTCAGGATATTCTTGACCGCTGTCCAGTGTTCCTTGCCGGGATTACTTTGGTATCTACCTACCAAACTTACAGCAAGGTTTACATCAGGCCTGGTACACAACATGGCATACATAATAGAACCTATGGCTGAGGCATAGGGGATGACACTCATCTCTTCTATATATTCTGTCGTGGTCGGACATTGAGCTGAGCTCAATTTCACACCTTGCAACACAGGCAAGAACCCCTTCTTAGACTGATCCATATTGAACTTCTTCAATATCTTATCAAGGTATGTGCTTTGTGAAAGACCTATGAGGCGTCTTGATCTATCTCTATAGATCTTGATGCCTAATATATAAGCAGCTTCTCCAAGGTCCTTCATTGAAAAACTCTTATTCAAGTAGGCCTTAATGCTGTCTAAAAGCTCTATATCATTTCCCATCAAAAGTATGTCATCTACATATAATATGAGAAATGCTACAGAGCTCCCACTCACTTTCTTGTAAACGCAGGCTTCTCCATAAGTCTGCATAAACCCAAACGCTTTGATCATCTCATCAAAGCGAATGTTCCAACTCCGAGATGCTTGCACCAGCCCATAAATCGAGCGTTGGAGCTTGCACACCTTGTCAGCATTCTTAGGATCGACAAAACCTTCCGGCTGCATCATATACAGTTCTTCCTTAAGATAACCGTTAAGGAATGCCGTTTTGACGTCCATTTGCCATATCTCATAATCATAGTATGCGGCAATTGCTAACATGATTCGGACGGACTTTAGCTTTGCCACGGGAGAGAATGTCTCATTGTAGTCAACCCCTTGAACTTGTCGATAACCCTTAGCGACAAGCCTAGCTTTATAGATGGTCACATTACAATCCACATCTGTCTTCTTCTTAAAGATCCATTTATTTTCTATGGCTTGCCGATCATATGGCAAGTCAGTCAAAGTCCATACTTCGTTTTCATACATGGATCCTATCTCGGATTTCATGGCTTCCAGCCATTTGTCGGAATCCGGGCCCGCCATCGCTTCTTCATAGTTCGAAGGTTCACCGTTGTCTAACAACATGATTTCGAAGACAGGGTTGCCGTACCACTCTGATGTGGAACGTGTCCTTGTGGACCTTCGAAGTTCAGTAGGAGCTTGATCAGAAATATCTTGATCATCATCATTAACTTCCTATCTAATTGGTGCAGGCACCACAGGAACATTTTCCTGAGCTGCGCTACTCTCTGCTTTAAGAGGCAGTATTTCATCAAGCTCTACTTTCCTCCCACTTACTTCTTTCGAGAGAAATTCTTTCTCTAGAAAGGATCCATTCTTGGCAACAAAGATCTTGCCTTCGGATCTGAGGTAGAAGGTATACCCAATAGTTTCTTTAGGGTATCCTATGAAGACGCATTTTTCCGACTTGGGTTCGAGCTTTTCAGGTTGAAGTTTCTTGACATAAGCATCGCATCCCCAAACTTTTAGAAACGACAGCTTAGGCTTCTTCCCAAACCATAATTCATACGGTGTCGTCTCAACGGATTTCAACGGAGCCCTATTTAAAGTGAATGCGGCAGTCTCTAAAGCATAGCCCCAAAATGACAGCGGTAGATCGGTAAGAGACATCATAGATCGCACCATATCCAATAGAGTGCGATTACGACGTTCGGACACACCATTACGCTGAGGTGTTCCAGGCGGCGTGAGTTGTGAAACTATTCCACATTTTCTTGAGTGTGTGCCAAATTCGTGACTCAAGTATTCTCCTCCATGATCTGATCGCAAAAACTTGATTTTTCTGTCACATTGATTCTCAACCTCACTCTGAAATTCCTTAAACTTTTCAAAGGTTTCAGACTTGTGTTTCATTAAGTAGACATACCCATATCTACTCAAGTCATCAGTGAGGGTGAGAACATAAAGATAGCCACCACGAGCCTCAACACTCATTGGACCGCACACATTAGTATGTATGATTTCCAATAGGTTGGTTGCTCGCTCCATTGTTCCTGGGAACGGAGTCTTGGTCATCTTACCCATGAGGCATGGTTCGCACGTGTCAAATGATTCGTAATCAAGAGACTCTAAAAGTCCATCTGCATGGAGCTTCTTCATGCGTTTGACACCTATGTGACCAAGGCGGCAGTGCCACAAGTATGTGGGACTATCATTATCAACCTTACATCTTTTGGTATTCACACTATGAATATGTGTAGCATTACGCTCGAGATTCATTAAGAATAAACCATTCACCATAGGAGCATGACCATAAAACATATCTCTCATATAAATAGAACAACCATTATTCTCGGATTTAAAT